TCTATAACAGATGTTGTTGTAACCTTGGTTTTGGCTTTCAGTCTGCTGAGGTTAAACAGCTTGCCATCGGTCTGATAGATGACTTCCACTCCGGTGGAAAGCTTCCCGTCAACAAAGTGAAGTATCATAGCAATGAAGATGGAGAATAGAGTTGGGGCAATAACACATCCCTGTTTGACACCCGATTCCACTATAAATGGGTCACTTTGGGAGGCATTGCTGTCCAGGACTGTTGCCATCATGTCATCATGGAGGAGCCGCAGGATGTTTACAAATTTGTTTGGGCACCCGATTTTTTGGAGGATGGTCCGGAGAGTGCTGCGATTCACTGTGTCGAATGCCTTTGCAAGGTCAATGAATGCCATGTACAGAGGTTGATTTTGTTCCTCCCTCCCTCTAGGAACCCAAGACTGGGATGACTGAAAATGTATGCCAATAAAATCTCATCTGCAGCTGTGGTGGGAATCATACAACCTTCTAGATTAGTGGTTTTCAACCTTTGGGTCCCCAGATGTTTTGGCCTTCAATTCCCAGAAATCTTAACAGCTGGTAAACCGGATTTCTGGGAGTTGTAGGCCAAAACACCTGGGGACCCACAGGTTGAGAACCACTGCGAGTCTAGATGTTGGTGGATTGCAGCTCTCATCAGCTGTGGTCAGTTCAGCCAACTGATAGGAATAATGGAAGCTTTTGCCAACTGGAAGGTTGCATGATTCTCATCCCTGGTTCAGACTATTGCCTTTTCCATAAATGAATTGACTCTGCAGAGGGGAAACCTAACAAACTAACTTCTTGTTGTAGGCTCACATTACCTTGTTCTCTTGTTTCAGTATCGTTTATGAAGTGACAGGCAAATGGCTGTTTGGGAGAGAGTTCTGCAAAGTCTGGATCTCATTTGATGTCATGTTCTGCACAGCCTCCATTGTCACATTGTGTTTCATCAGCCTTGACAGATACTGCTCTGTTGTCACCCCCTATCACTATTCAAAGAGAATGTCACGGCAAAGGCAAGTATGCATTGTCCTCTGGTGGTCGCAGACTTCTGGAAGCCTCATCACAACATCGGTAGAATTCCCATGAAAATTGCCATTTTGGCAGTTTTAAAGCAGAATTAACAGACACTGGTTGTTGTTACTATGATTCTTGTAATCCAAATGGAAATAAAAAGCTAAGAGCACAAAGTATAGACTAAGGCTCCTTCTACACTGTCCTTATATCCCAGGATCTGATCCCAGGTTGTCTGCTGTGAACTGGATTATATCAGTCTCCACTGCAAAGCAATGGTATTCCCCATAGTCACCTACGGATGTGAGTGCTGGACCATAGGGAAGGCTGAGCAAAGGAAGATAGATGCTTTTGAGGAAAGTGCTGAGAGTGCCTTGGACA